GCGACGATAACGACGACGAGAATCTTCCTGAACCCCCGCCGCCCCCCAAGGTGCCGGCCCCTAACGTGAATCTCTCCTGTCCAGGTATACTCAGGCAACCTGGCACACCTGGCAGCGCCAAGAAACGCGTTCAGATACAGGAGATTTCCGTCTGAGGATGAGAATTTCTTTCTTTTTTCTTTTTCTTTTTCTTTTTTTTTTTTTCCTCTCCTCCTCCTTTCGATCGTTCGATCGTCGAAACAAACGATCCCATCCCATCCTACCCCTCCGCTCGATCGTCGCTACTGCTGGCGGTAGTCGATCACATCGATGGTCTCGAGAGATGGTGTCGCGCCGTGGATCGATCACGAGAAGAGATGATCTGGCCTGGGATGCACGATGTGGTTTTGCATCGTTTTGCAGAAATAGGTGTTCGCGTGAAAAGGACGGGAAATAAGTGCACAAATCAGATGGCCTTAAAGGGAGAATTCGTGGGAGGAACGAAGGGAGAGGCAACTCTCGTCGGAGTCGGTCGAGTTCCTCCGAGTTCCCTCCGAGATTCGACGATGAATATTTTCCAATATTTCTTACCGACCTGAAATAGAAAACGAAAAGAAAAAAAAAAAAGAAAAAAAGAAAAAAAAAATGAAAAACAAAAAAAAGAAGCGGCGGCAAAAGATTCGAAAGAGAATCTTATCGGGGTGAATGTTCGACCGCGTGAAAATATTTCGTACAGAGTTTAAAATTAAACGGTCCTCGCTCGTCAAAATTCTTTCGAGGAGAGGAGCGTGTGTTCACCTTATCGAGTATCCGTAACATCCTTCCTTGAAGAAGAAGAAGGAAAGAGGAAAGGATGTTCCGAAAAAAGGATAAAAGTAGTGAAAGTGGAAGTGGCGGGAAAGAGAGAAGAAAGAAGGATATATGAGGAGAGGTGAACAGGGGGTCTCGTCGAGCATCGGTCGAATCGTTGCCGGGGGTCGTCGCGACGCTCGACGCTACGACGAAACGAGGGGATTGATATAATCTCAGGAACTGAAAAGACAAGGCGCGCGCCGAAGAGAGACCCGGCAGGATGCCTCGGGCTTCCTTTATCCGGATTTGTCGGAGCACTAAGTGGAATTATTCGAGGAATTGGAGGGCCTGACCTCGACTTTTTGGGTCTCGTGACTTTTTTTCGCGAGAGAGAGAGAGAGAGAGTGTATGTACGTATGTGTGTGTGTGTGTGTGTATACGAGAGGAATTGGACAGCTGATCAAGCGAAACGCAGGCCGAGCACGGAGAGGAGCCTGCTGATGCCAGAATCGGTGAATTTGAAGTTCTCGTCGGTATAATCGCGTGTGTTCTTTTAGCTACGAGAGAGAAGAGTGTGCGAGAGAGAAAGACATGGAGAGTGGAACTAGTGAGAGAGGATGCTTGCTAAGAACGATATATCTTTGTGAATCGTACGAGGAAATGTTGGAAACTGTGTGAGGGATCCATCCTGGATATTTTTTTCGTTTCCTCGTGGAGGCTGTTTATGGTTCCTGTTCAATTTTCGTGAGTTTGTAGTGACACGTCTGTTATTATGTATATATACATATATATGTTTTCGCGTTTGTTTGTTTGTTTGTTTTTGTAATTCTAGTATACAAAAGTGTTTAACGTGTTAAATTGTTCGTTATCGAAGTTCGATGGACAAGTGGATGAGTTAATTTATCGTTGAAAGAGGAATGTCGCGATATTTTTCTGCACGGAATGATAACAATTACGAAGTGAGCGTTATCACGAGATTTATTAATCTATTTATCTTTACTTTAATTTCCTTCGCAGGTGGATTAACAGGAAACGGATATCGTCGACTTTGAAGATTCGTGTGAACTCCAATTCGGGATGCAATTTATTTTTCTTTTTTTTTTTTTATCGAATTAAATTTTAAATCATCGACATAATTCATCACACAACGCAGAGTCGGTTCGAATATCTAATTTATTTAAACACGGTGCTCGCGTTAATTAATACGAAACGTAAGAGATTTTGGCGCGAAAGTGAAATAACGAAATTAGTTGGTAGGCAAGTGGAATTTCGAATCGGCAATTTTGAGAATGTCGCGAATGTTCTTGTTTCGAGTGTGTACCGTCCTCCCTGTGTTGACAAATGCCTGTGTTTACGAGCGAGCAACGCTCCTCGCTGTTCCCCATTGCCTCTCGAACAATTAGCCTTGATTACGTTTCGTTCGAATACCGGAACTAAGTTAGATTCGTCGAGTTGATAACAAAAACACTCGTCACCCGCGCGCCTATTTATTCTAAAACGATTTCGATCGATCGGATTTCGAGAATTCGATCAACGATCAAGATTCGTTAATTTTGAAACTATGGAAATCATCTGTGACGATTTAAACGAAGAAGTAATTTTATAATTTTAAAAAACAGTTTTAAATTTAAGTTTTAAACTTAATCCCGATATTAAGTAGTAATAGGCAGCAATCGATCGGACGTAAAAGTGACGAGGCATTAATTCTTTGCAAATTAAAATTAAAATTAAAAGTTGAACGACGATATGATATTTTTCTTTATCCCTTATATTTGAATCTTTAATTTGGAATTTAAAATGTGGAATGTATCTTTGAATCGATGCTCCTTTGCAAAGGGTTAATATCAATAAACGTGAGTTTCTACGTTTTAATAAAGAATCTCATATTTTTTTTTCTTTTGACGTATTTAAGGAAACGATTCCTCTTTCGATTCCATCAACGCACGAATCTTTCTCCCTCGATACGCTACTCCCTTTCGAGATATTCTTCCATTTTCCATCCACGAAAAATATATATATATATAAGATATGCGGCGGAAGTGACGATCGATGCCGGAAACGGGAGACAGATGAGTGGCGACACGTAAAAGGAAAGGCGAGGAAGTTGTAAGAGCGAGGGAGAGGAGAAGGAAGAAAAAGGGATAGGAAAAGAAGATGGGCCAGCCATAAAATCGGAGGAAACGCCCTTGACAAAATTCGTGCGTCTTTGGAATGATTCTATCGATCCTCGAATCTCGAACGAAAGAGGCGAAGAGAAGAGAAAGAGAGAGATGTTGCGCGTGTGTGCGTGGAAATGCGAAAAATTGCAGGTATGAAGAGAAGAATGAGAGTGAGAGAATGAGAGAGAGAGAGAGAGAGAGAGAAAGAAGTTGGAAAGTCCTGTCGTTGAAAACTCTGGTGTCGATTCGTCGACGAATCCTCGATTCCTTGGTCGAAAGATCGGAAATTTCGTTTCTCGAGCGATGAAAGATGAAAGAAAAATCTTTGCCATTTTGTGGAAAAATTGGCGATCGAGGATTTTTCGATGGATCGACGAGGCAACGACGTCTTCGAGCGTCATTTACATACAGAATTAAACGAAGGCATGCACACGTATACACATGTCTGACACGTAACACGTAACACGGATGCGAGGGAAACATGGTGGAAACACACACGAGGTACACACGTACACGATTATCAATGTTTGGAATGTTGGGATTTGTTTAAATAAATAATTAAAGCATTTAAAGCGTAAGCGGATTGGTAATTCATGGATTCAGATTCCTCTTCTTCCGTATCTGTGTCTTCTTCTCTCTCATCTTTTTATCCTTTCTTCTTCTTCTTTTTACAAATATTTATCTTTCTACATTTATCTATCTCGTATAATTTGTTTTTGTTTTTTTTTTCAAATCGTAGAATTACACGGATGCTATCTATTTGTTTGTTTGTTTCAACTTTTTTTCAACGATTGTTTTTCAACGATTTTCAACTGATCCTTCGTTTCTCGTCGAATTAGGTAAGTGTTAATTTATGTGTTATCTCGTTACGCTTAGATCCTCATCGAATAAAAAATCAAATAAAAGTTTCTTTAAACAGATTTCTTTCGATATAAAGAAATACACAAGTTCGATAAATTTTCACAAAAATATAAACACTTTTCGAAAAACGAGAATTCCTCCCGAATCAAACCGCTTCCATCTCTCTAAATTTCACCTCAAGAAAGAAAAGAAAGTAAGGCGAAAAAGGGAAGAAAGAAACCGGGGTTGTAAAAACGAGAACAAAAACGGTAACACCAAAATAAATTCCGACTCTTTAGAGCTCAAACAAGCTGTAAGAAACGGCTCGAGAGGAGTGAGGAGATAACAAACGAAATCCAAGGAGAGAGAAAGAGAAAGAGAGACCCAACTCTTCCTCTCCCACCACCCCTCTTCCCTTGCCCCACCGACGAGGCAACAACCACGATTTTCGATCACGCTGAAACAGGCCCGTTCCCTTTCCAGGATCACCACGCCACCTTTGCCAGCTGCCACTGAAAACCACTCGAGGAGACACTCGATGTTTTAGGGTAATGGAAATTCCTCCCCTCCCCTCGCCGCTCTCCCTCTGGAACGAGCAATCTCGAGGATCGTTCCGTGCCTATATATCGCGCGACTTCTTGCCAAAGTGCCACGCGCGACGAACCTCTCTTTAAAGTGTAAGCGTGGCGAGTGTGTGTACGATAGGGGTGGGAAAAGTTG